CTGTAATTAAATTACAAACTGTCTGAAAGAAGAGCTCTTCTGGCTCAGTGACCTTCTCACTTAATGGTAGGACATTATTCTTGCCTTACTGACAGAACAAAACCCAAAACTCCAAAGTATACGTGTTTTGTCCCAGGAGGTGCTGGCTTGTTATTATCCCAGTAAGAAACGCACTCAGATTCTGTAAAGTCTCATTTAAAATGCTATTTATTACAACTAATGCTATAAAGAAAGAGGACAGTATAGCTAATTTTATATCGCTTTGGATGCTGGGAACCCAAAGTTGTGCAGCATTGAACAGGTATAAGGTCAGGGTGCAAGAAGTTGTGCAGACCCCAACCATGCAAGGGTTACCCCATTTTGGTCATTTGAGCCATTATATTCACCACTTCTACTGCCAAACAGAAAGGATGTTCATGTCAGAACTTACTGCTGTGCTTCTAGATAAAGGCAAGGACACGCAAGTGGTGTCACTACCAGGACCAAACGGGGACTACCTGCAGGCTCCTCTCTTGTCACCCACCAGCAGAATTTATGCTGTGGCCAAGAGTTTTCCCTGAAGGCCATGCTGTACAAGAAGCACAGAGCAGCACAGCACAGGCCTGGGCCTACCCAGGTTAACTGACATGTGGATTACCCACCCCTCCAGGTACAATGTTCTTCAGGTCAGGATTGCTACCATATGCTCCCGTGCTTAGCGTTTATTTAAATCACAATCCCAGTCCTGTTCTCAGACACTCAGTCCCCACAGAGTATCATCGGCACCACCTCTCCAGCCTGCAAGGCACTACAGGGTGCTGAAGTGGGGTGGGGTCTACTCATCCTCCCAGTGTGGATCCACACCACTGAAACACTGGAGGGGAGGGCAAGAAGAATGTCACTTGTGAAGACAGCAATCTGTAAGATTCATATCCCTACTGCTAAAGGAATAGTCAGACTTAGGTTTATCCACTGAAACGCAGAAAAGTTTCTAATACAGAAATTGGAATGTAAAGCTTTAACATGAACAGTAATAAGTGGGAGGATGGAGAGTGGCACGCAGGGAAACACCAAAAGCAAGCTCAGCCTGTCTGCTGCACCATTTACCAGACATTTCACAATTTCTCCAATCTGTCATCTAAGTAAATAAGGTGAAATACTTCATCCTCCCATGTTGGTAATATTTGTATTTCATGCTATGAATGGCCACTCAGTGGCTGAAGGCCCAGGTTTAGTTTTCTTCTGAATCCACTGGGGCGTGTGTTTTCCTTTCTGCAGTTACAAAGTACTCCTGACAACCTATGAAGCCCCACCTGAAGAAATGCTCCTTTGTTGGCTTTTGCTGGTTGACTTTCATGTTTTTCATAATCACTCTCTCATTATACAAGCATTTTTTAACCTCAGCACAGGCAGTTCCAGGATTCATTCTAAGGACAGATACATTACAGTTCTACTTTTTATTAATTCAAATGGTATTAGGTCTTCAAGAATAAACCATGCTGAGGATCTTTGAAGAAAAACAGTGGTTTCAGAAATGACAGTAAGTGTAAAGAATTTTTAGTGAGGCCTCATTTATGAAAAAACCCCATATTTAAAGTTATTCAGACAATAGGACATTATTTCTGTCACAGAAAAGGCATCTTGAAATAACACATTTTTGGAAGATGCAAACATGGTGACATTTCACGTCATAAAAACTGGATGCGACCTTAAGATAAGGAATCAGCTTCATTTAGGAGCACTAGTGTTGTTTATTACCCAATAATAATGCTGTTTTAAAAATAAAGTCAATAGCATTGGTTCACATCTGCAGAGACACATACAGTGTTACTCCAGACTAAGTGGCAAAAGAGAAGTTCAGATAACTTCCAAGCATTCGTGCATTCAGTACTGGCAAGCCAGCCCCTAGATCAGTACGAGCAAACTCTCAGCCTTGTCTGAGGTATTTTTGTTTCGTATTTTATTGTTGCAAATCTTACAGACATTAGCGCTGTGTTAAATAAAGGAATGTAGCACAGTAAATACATCACAACAAAACAGCTGGCCAGAAATCCCCCACCCTGCCCCACCCAAAACAAAACCCCCACTCCTTTGCCCCCTACCCACCCCTCCAAATCAAACCACTGCAGCTTCGTTACAGAGGTCAGAGACCTGTGGCAAAAAACATCAAAGGAATTACATTCAGTAGATGTGCATTATCAACATTCCAGGCTCACATATATTTATATATGTATTTATATTTATATATAGAGATCATTAAATGTTTACAAAGAACAATATTGTTACAAATACAATACTATACTTTTCCCAACGCTTTACAGTAATTTCTATTCACCCTCTTTACAGAACAACAGTACAACTCCATAGTCTAGGTACTGTGCTAAATATGTACAAGAGATCTCAACCACTTCGTTGTCTTCAGAAATACATTTCATTTAGACAACAAGGAAAGCAAGCAAACCTGGAAATCCTAACTGAGTCTCAAACTCAAACAAGATTCAAAACAAATGTGTGAAGCTTGCCAAAAAAAAAAATAAAAATTAAAAAAAAAAAAAAAAAGGGGATGTTTCATCCTTAACGTAAACACTGAAGAGTTAATTAGACTGTATGAAGCAGCAAGGATGAAAAAGGATTCAGGTCTGTCACAGAGGAAGGAGTGTAAACCAGCAGTTTGTTCCTTTGAATCTGTTAAAAATTCACACACATAATCTACCAAACTGCTGCAACGGTCTAGAGAATTGCCAACTTTTTCTTGAAACTTCCTTTACAAAGTAAAATGGGATTGTTTACAAGACTGTTATTGAAAGTGTGCATACACTATGCACCTCCCAGTTTAGAAATCTTAAGCACATGCTGTAATTGAGAAACAGATTTTTTGCTAGACTGATCCTGCAAGCATTCACTTGCTTAATGTTAAGCACGTATTTACCATGAACTGTTCAAGCACTCAAGTGCCAGTAACTTCACAGAATCTTTGCTGCAAGATTTTCAAAGAAACAGTTTTTACATCTCTAAACACATTTGCATGCTCAGGTCTCGTCATCATTTCCCAGTGAGAGCTAACCACACGAGCTGGACAGAACCACAGACACAAGTGAAGCTGAGGTTGTAAACACAGCAGGAACCAGAAGCATGCTAACTGTGTCTTCAAGAGTTCACTAAGTTTCCTTAGGCAACTTACGGAAAGGCTGCACTGTATCTAATCTTGTAAATTGTACATGGTTATATATCATATTTACATATATTACTATATATATGGAAAGTACTGGAAAAAAGTTCAAATGATCATAAACCAGATGTCTACAGTTAAACAATATTCTCACAACTCATTCACTATGTAGTTGCATCAGTCAGGTAGCAGAGGTAAGTATTAACACTGCTCTTGCTTTCATCTCACTGAGCCTTTCTATCACAGTAAAACACAGCACAAACTGCTTCTTTAAAAGAAATCAACATATTAGCCTGGACTAAATGCATGGTTCAGTTTCAGCATACAAAACCAGTATACAGACCTGGTAAAAAGTAACTACAGAGAATGGAGACTTTTCCTCTAGGAAGAAAAGCCATTGTTTCTTTTTTTTTTTTCCCCTGCTCTTAAAAAAAAAAACCCAAAACAACCCAACCACTTTTCCCCCTTTTGTATCTAGCATGCAAGTCAGAGGCCAATCAAATCCTAGATTTCATACATCTCTACAGTTTATCATCTTCATACAAGTGCATATAGTACACGCATATCTCCTTTAAGTGCCATACATATGGAAAAAAGATCACAAGTTAAATTATATAACAAAATAAATAAGTTTATCCCCACCTCATCCCTTTCACCATTATCTATATCATGAACTAAAGAGAAAGTCAACAAAATTAGACAGGTCTTTGGACAAAAACATACGTTGAAATTGGCTCAGAGAACAAAATTACTTAGAATAGTCTGCAGATCTCTTATATTCAAACTTCATAAATAGCAAGCACAATTTTAAAAATGTCTATATACACCAGCACACACGGCTGTGTGCACCAAATTCAGAATTAAGAGCTTAGAAAAATGTGTAGCTATTCAGGAAATCCCCTCATTATTTCTCTTGTAGATATTTAAAGATCCTCCCCCCCTCCTTTAACCTCTAAAATAGTCAAGGGACTATAAAAGACATGTTGCATTTAAAAACAAAGTAGAAGAAAACAAAGAGTTATAAACCTGGGGGCAGAGAGGAAGAGGCAGCTGTTAAAAATGCCTCCCAAAGTACTTAGTGTAAGTAATGCAAATGTAACATGGTTGAGTAACTCACAGAGTACCTTTTGGGGTCCTACTACCATGAAGAACTGATGACAGAAGGGAATTAAAAGGTGTGTATTTGGACAGGCCATTTTACAACAGCAGCATTCACTGAGTCTTCATAAGCAGGGAATTCTTCCTGAGGGCAAAACTATCCTTTTGGTACTGTACTTTCCATACAGACATAAACTTTTCATACTGAGCTCAGTGCCTGTGGGAAAATTGGGCAAGAAAAGCGAAGTCACAAGCAGAATATCCAAGGCAACATTTCGCATCCTGTACTTCTACCTGTTTGGTAAAGACATCTTTCATTCAGCACCATTTAATTTACTTAGTTTGTCAAATTGTAGCCACAAAACCAAAAACAATCATGCAGCATGAAGCAGAGTCAACCTTCTTTGTGAATCCTGCTGTGAACAATGCTGGTTTTGTTTTTCTGTTTTGCAGGTGGAATTGCATGAAGTCTCACTTGTAAAAAGATGCAACCAAAATAGTCCCATAGGTATATTTTGCCCCTTCCCAAAATACAGGAAAATGGTGGGGAGAAGAGGAAAAAGGGAGGGAGGAGTGAGACAGTGTGTTTTTGCCTGTGAAGGAGAGAGAGAGAGAGAGAGAGAGAGAGAGAGAGAGAGAGAGAGAAAGAGAAAGAAAGAAATGTCTCTGCAAACACAGAAATGCAGCACTAGAGAGACAAGCATTAACGAGGAAAAACATCCTCCATGCACATTGTGACGGTGAGGTGTTGGCTTTAGATGTAAACTGGTTGCTCTTGTGCAGTCAACAGTCTGTACATGGCGGCTGGCATAGTCTTCATATGAATCTAGAGGAAATACGGCAAGTTAATCAATGTTCCTAATGTGCACACAACAACAGAACATGGGTGAAGGAACTAGCTAAGGTCATACAGGACAGAAGGTTAAGGTAAAACCTGAGAGTTTCCACAGTCTTACTGAAGTATTGCAGGCGCAGATTTTATGAAACACTATGCTTACTATCAGTGACCCATCTAAAGCTGTGGACACTTCATATTTTCAGACTAGGGTTCTTCTAAAACATAGAAGAACTATGGGTAAATAATAAAAGAAATGGTGTGCTGGCTTGCTTTCATTTCCCCTTTTTAGATTTGAATAGCAACAGGCTAATAGAGGTAGAATCACAGCATTATGCAAGAATTTGAGTTGGAAGGGACCTTCGAAGATCATCTAGTTCCAACACCCCCTGCCATGGGCAGGGACACCTTCCACTAGACCAGGTTGCTCAAAGCCCCATCCAACCTGGCCTTGAACACTGCCAGAGAGGGGGCAGCCACAGCTTCTCTGGGCAACCTCTTCCAGCGTCTCACCACCCTCACAGGAAAGAATTTCTTCCTTATTTCCAATCTAAATCTCCCCTCTTTCAATTTGAAACCATTGCCTCTTGTCCTGTCACTACACACCCTGAAAAAGAGTCCCTCAACATATTTCTTTAGAAGACCCCTCTATACATTGAAAGGCTGCTAAAAGGTCTCCCCAAAGCCTTCTCTTCTCTGGGCTGAACAACCCCAACTCTCTCAGCCTGCATCTCATCGGGAGGTGCTCCAGCCCCCTGATCATCTTCATGGCCTCCTCTGGACCTACTCGAGCAGGTCCATGTCTTTCTTGTGCTGGGGGCCCCAGAGCTGGACACAGCACTCCAGGTCGGGTCTCACCAGAGCAGAGTAGAGGGGGAGAAGCACCTCCCTCGACCTGCTGGCCACACTTCTCTTGATGCAGCCCAGGATGCGACTGGCTTTCTGGGCTGTGAGCGCACGTTGACAGCTCATGTCCAATTTTTCATCCACCAGTATCCCCAAGTCTTTCTCCACAGGGCTGCTCTCAATCCCTTCATTCCCCAGTCTTATCAGTGTTGGAAATTGCCAACCTTGCACTTGGGCTGGTTGAACTTCATGAGGATCACATGTGCCTCTTTTCAAGACTGCCAAGGTCCCTCTAATGACACCCCTTTCCTTGAGCTCATCAGCTGCACTACTGGGCTTGGTGTCATCTGTAAACTCGCTGAAGGTGCACTCAATCCCACTGTCTATATCATTGATGAAGATACTAAAAAGTACTGGTCCCAGCATGGTCCCTTGAGGGACACCCCTTGTTTACTGGTTTTCACTGTCTGTTACTGGTAACAGCCATGAACTACGTTACAGAGCCTAGACACATTGCCTGCTCTTACCTCACCAACAGCATTTGAGAGAATGTGAACAATTTTCTCATGGGGTGTTGCTACAACACTCTGTCCATTGATTTCAATGATCCGATGGCCAACACGCACACCTCCTCGCTCTGCTATACCTCCTCTCATAAGGCTACAGATCTGGAAGGGAACGGACAAATTTATTAGGGTCTGGACATGGAAAAGAGACTTTAGATTACCCACTTTTGCCTGTAAACTGTAAATCAGCATTTAAACTCAGAGGCTTGCAACAACTTCTAAAATGTAATTAATTACCGATTCAAACTAAAATTTATTAGTGACAGATAACTACTGTATATTCTCTTGCAAGAACAGAGCAAACTGTCAGAAAAGGCTGCTTGTGTTGTATGTCTCATGCACTGTGGTTTGGAAATTTAAAAGCATATGAAGGACCACAGTTTAACAGTGTTCAGGATGCAGATATATTACAACAAAATAGGATCAAGGACAGTCATTTTCTTTTGAGATCATGCAACGGCTTGGTTAGAGACATGAATGATGCAGACTGAAAGCAGACTCTGCTACACATTTTTGTTTCTCTAACCTAAAACAGCTTTTCTGTTCCTCTGGTTGACTCTAAACTTGTGAAGTAAGTAAAGTCAAAGACAAAAAACAACCCTTAACAACTCAGCTTTTCTATCTTAGACTTAATATATGTGCAAAGTCCTGCTTGCTGTAAGGAAGAAAATGGCAGCTTCCCTCTTCCCAGACTGAGACTTATCCACAAATGGATAAAAAGCTTTATGTTTACCAAAGCATAACCAGAGAGTGTGGAAGCTACTTACAATCCCATTCTGCACACTGAAGCCCAACTGATATCTGAGGTCTGGTCTCCTGATCAGGACTGTGGTTACTGGAGGACACCTAACTATGTTCAGTTTAACCCGGGCCTGGTTTTTCAAACCCTGAAAAAAAGAAATCACCATGAAAAATGCTGGTAAAGACTACGGGGGCAGGGGGTGGTGGTGGTGGTGTGTGTGCAGAGTGTTAAAATATTGACCCAGGAACAGCCCTGAATAAACAGAATCCGATCATTGAAATCCAGGCACATGCATCAGACTATTCAGTGAAATGAGTAGTAAAATATCAAATTTTTCTTGCCAAGAAGTTGACACAGTTGTTTTAAGAAAACTAGCTTCCTGTTGGCAATTTCTACATTTGATAACACAAATCCATGTATGAAAAGAATATTAAACAGGTCTGTGCAGCTCACCAAAAAAGCCAATCAGTGTGGATGGGAAATAAAATTTTAAATAAGCAGCTAAGGTAGTTACAAATAAGTGGCTTCCCTAACAGGAATATTAAATTCTGTCAAGCAAACGGCAGGTCCTGCTCCTATCATACTTGTATAAGCAGTGCTTTTAATTTCCATTTCTCCTCCCTTCTAAATGACTTATAACATATTCATCATGAACTCCTTGCTACCAGAAGAAAACTGAAGGAGGAAAATTTATTTTTACTGTCAGGGTGGTAAACCACTGGAACAGATTACCCAGAGAGGCTGTAGAGTATCCAACCTTGGACTTACTTAAACCCTAGTGGGCACAGCCCTAAGCAACATGGTCTACTTTGAACCAAATTGTTCGTCTAGACCAGCTTCAGTGGTGACTACCAGCCTCAGAGACTTTGTGATTGTACGGCTCCAAGAAAACTCAAATGTAAAAACGTAGATAACTACAATCTGACCCGTTGTACAACCTCTAGTATTCAGAACTCTCATAGATTGTTGAGATATTTTTCTGAAACGCTTCACTGACACAAAAGATTAGCCATAAATAAATACATAAATAAAATCCACACAGGTACAACTGAAAGCAGGGTCCCACTGCAACTAACAGGCGTCCGATGCTGACTTCAAAAGGTTAATTCTGAAAAATAATTCCTACTATAGCTAGAGTAATACACTGAAGCCTCTACATCCAGTTTACTGCTGTTGATGCTGTTAAGGTAAACTACAGATTCAGCAGTGACTTGAATAACTAGACTGGCATCCTGCCACGGCCAACTGCCTTAGAATCTGTTTTCTCGTCAGCGCCTTAAACTGGATGCAGTCGTCACATGGGAATCCCACTTCCACACAGTGCTGAGCTCAGCTCGGCTCATTACTAAACGTGGCTCCAAGAGAATGGGCATGTGAACACAAAATGACAAAGCACATGGCTGCAGGAACTGCCCCTACTCTACTCTCAGCAGAAAGAAGGCCTAAACTCCATCTCTTCCACGACTACGGACTCCCGCACCCTGGTAAGAAATTAGCAGCACATCACATGTGCTCAAGTGCCATTCATCTTCTACACGCACGTCTTCACAACACCACACATTGTAGAAGACAGGGACTAATCAACCTGCACTAAGCTGTGGGTATGATGTTTATTCAGCTAAGTCTGAAGGGCTTTTGCCTTAATCCAGGAGGGCAGGAGTCATACAGAGTACTGGAGATGCTCATTTCTATGAGGAATTTAGGTATCTAACTTCAGTCATCTGAGTTCACTCAACAGAGTTGTTATGATTGCGCTCTTACTTCCCTGACAAATGTGCAAGTTATTTATATGTATTCCTTGAAAAAAAAGTAACGTGGTCCCCAACAAATAATTTTTTAATTTTACAGAAAGTACATGTATTTCAAAAGTCGCTAATTTCCAGTATTACGCAGATTGGTATATATGCCAATCAGAAACAAAACAACTGCATCATTCGACCATTTTGCTTATTTAGTCCCTGAGTCTGCTTCTGATAGTAGCCAGCACCGACGCTTCTGAAAAAGATACAAGTAGCGTAATACAATTAGGCAATAACCACCACATATGGAAAGCTTTGTCTGAGCTCTGTCAGTTTGCAATTGGTTTAAGGCCAATCAGCAGCAGAGGTTACATCTGTAATACTGAAACTATCTTATTTGAAGTGCTTGCAAGATATTCTTCTTATCTACATAATATTCTCATCTTTTCATAGGAGTCCTTACCACATGCTAAAGAAATCTGAAATCCTGAAACATTTTTGCCACATTTAGATGTGTTATTTAGGTCATTCAGCGGTATATATACTTGTTACTAGAAGCGCTATATGAACAGCTCTAGATGAATGGTTATGAAGACCTGGAAACATGCAGACTGTCTTCTCTTTAGAAAGACAAAACAAACGGCTAGTAGTTCCTATGGCAACAGTAGTAAGTAACAGTGAGGAAGAGAAAGGTCTGCAGAAGCTGGAAACACCAAAGCTGCCTCTTTCTGTTTTGAGGAAGTACAGATGAGTACAATGAAACTCCACCTGAAAAGGCTCTGAATCAAAGAAGCGTAACTCATCACAATTTTAGAAATAAAACTGATGTGGGACAGGAATCAAGTATGGCTGACATGAGAAGCCTAAATTTGCAGGGAGTTTTGTTCCACTGAAGCTGGCACACAATTATTTAATGTGACTTTTTTCTTTCCTTCACAAATTTAAGACTGCTTTTGCCATGTTTTTGGTATGCTGCACTTCCAGGCTATCATTTCTACTCACTGAATCTAAAATGGCTGGTTCAATGACTTATGCATCTATTACTCATCAGAACTCAGCATTAACATTTTTGGAAACCAGAATGGGGAGTCTTTATACCAAGTATGTTAGTTCAAGTATTAAGACACTAATCCATGGACAAAAAATAAACGTTTACTTCGCCTTTTTTCTTTTTTTTTTTCTTTTTTTTTTTTTTTTTACTTTGTAAATCTCCTTTGCAATTTAAAAAGGTACAAAACGGAAAAAAAAATTCCATAATAGAACTTCTTACCAGAAAGTTGTCTAAACAAATAAGTAAGTTTAGGAGGCATAATCCCAGAAATCAGAGAAGGATTTCTGTATAGTACACCACCAGCATTACATTACATGTCTACAAGTTATGATCCGCAGGAGCTCTGTGGAGCTATTTCAACAAATTACAAAGACTATATAAGTTCACCTCAAACATTCCCTAGTGTTGCATCTTTCCAGCTCTTGAAATTCTGATGTTTAAATACCTATTCCCTTGTATGCTACAGCTACCCCAGACACTGTTTAGTTCCAGTTGACCTGCACGCTTTTTGCAGCCACATACTTTTCTGGCAACTAGAAGAAAGCTCTCCTAACTAAAATACCCCATTTAGCCAAGTGAAGAGAAGCACTCCAGTTTCAAATAACTCCGGCAAAGTTTCTCGGGCAAAGTGGATAAGTACATCTTTAATTCAAAGTTTAGAAGTTTTAAAAATAGTTATAAACAAAACAAAACAAAAGCATCAACTCTATTTCAGCCAGATATGGGGAGGCATTTAAACAAATAACATGGCCTAGGACAATACTGTGCATCTGTGCCTCCATTTGTCACATCAAAGTTTATGCCCATCTTTGATGGTATCTTCCTTCTGAATAAAATATTCTCTTGTGGTGAATACTCTGCACAGAGCCCTTATCCATACAAGTAAATGGCACAGCTCACTTTCTAGGAGTCAGAAGACTGGTGTAGCATAATTCCCGCTGTAGCTTAAAGATCATGAAACAAAAAGCGCTATACAAACATTTGGTAAGAATTTACTTAAGAGTGCTACACTTTCCGCTCTTCTATTATGTAACCCTTTTAAAATGTGTAACTTCCAGAAACATTCTCCGTACCTTTATAATGCTCTGACATGTTGAGAGTGGTAAACCAACCAAACTGGTCCCATTGATTGACATGATCTGGTCCCCTATGTTCAGCTTCCCAGACTTCTCAGCTGGTCCTCCATGCATCATGTTGGCTATGATAACTGTAGGCAAAATGGATCCCCAGCCAGACTCCACAATAACTACACCTAGGATTTCTCCCTTTTGTTTTTCAATGTAAACCTGTGTCATAAGGAAAAGTGTTTCAAAAAAAAAGCTTCTTCACACCTATGGAACTGACTAACTCCCTGCCCTCTCCAAACACTCACATAACCAACAAACATTCACCCCTCCTTATTTGCAATCTGCCTTCCTAATTCAAAGGCAAAGCAAAATAGGGTACACGTTTTACTACACTTCATTTGTATTCCAATATAAATAATTAGCACCACATAATACAGATTTTGCTTAGTGTGAAAACACCCCTCACAACTTATTTCTGTGTACGAGCAGGGGAAATTGGAGAGGGAGAAACCCTGGTGCCATGGGCTTTGGTGGACGAAACCAAAGACAAAGAGCTTGCAAGAGTTTATGAATGGATTGGAAAAATCACTACCCGACTGTTCCAATGGTGCACTTATTCCTCTTTACTAACGAAGCTGCAAATCCTTTCAGTAAATACAATTCTTTAAAATCTGGAATCAGATACTTTCACAAACACCCATGCCTCTATAACTTTTATATTGTTTACTGCAATTTGTTAAATTCTATTAGTCTGTCAATCTGTTTTAAGATAATGTTCAAACGTATCTGAAAATTGTTAAGAAGAACACAAATAGATGACAAATCATTTCACTGCTGATAAATTTTGGGTTCACTGTGCCCTTGAAACAGAATTGATGACAGGGTGTCCTACTTGAGAGGATTTTCTAGACTCGCTGAGGTAATTTATAGGAAGTATCAATGGTTTTCCGATTTCTGTCAGCATGGGCCTGCAACAGGTACAGAGCAGCTTAATGCTGTTACAGGAAAAAAAAAGAGACATACATCTTTGCAGTTTTCAGATTTGGAGAAGTGAATCAGGTCATCATTGTACATGTCCTGGGTATTGAGCAAGTCGCTATATTCCTTCTGGCTAAGGTCTTCTGGGTTGATTCCATTTGCCCTCAGAAATTCCTGGTAGGCCACACTAAATGCTTGACCTATGGACTGTGCAATCAGCTGTGCCTGTAGCAGTTCCCAGAGAAGAGCAAAGAAAAAAGTGAAACATTCTGATGGTCTCATCCACTGACACTTTCTCTGTTACAATTACTCTGTAAAATGGATAATCGAGTCAACAAACCTACAAGTTACAGCAATCCAGTTTAAAAAATATTTGTGCACTAAAAATTAATTTAAAAGACCCACAAAATGTCAACACATTCAGCTGTGCTATGAATCCAGCTCGGCAAGCAATTATAAACAAGAAACATAAATAAAGCCATCCTTTCACGTGTAAAACCTGCTAATATAAATGTAAAGGCATGCCCACTGCTGTGACTGTAGCTTGCACCTACAATTTGCTTTTTCAACTGGCCAGTAAGAGAGAGCTAGCAGTGTTCAAACTTGTGACTAGAAATACAGGAACAGCAGACTCAAAGCAGGCAGCATATCAAGTGCTAACAAGCCAAAAAACCATTGGCTACTCTTTTTATTTTCACATCAGTTTCTTGAAAGGCTTTGCAAAACTGACTTATGTGCTATTTTGGGGAAAAAATGCACTAATTTTTTTATGCTGCCAAAATTTTGGTAAAGGATTACTTCTATCAGTGCTCTTGTCCTTACTTTTTAACCTCAGCAGTGGGTCATACATGTACATTCATCTGCAACCAGATAGTTTTTCTAGACATGCGTTTAGAAAAGATTCATCATTACATAAAATCAGCTGCTTATTCAAGAAAACTTTCCCATACCAACATCCTTGCTGATACACCATTGAGTGGAAGACATTTAAGTATTTTATAAGAAACTGGCAGTTTCACTTTATTTTAAATAATGCTCTGCTATTTGGAGGGCTTAGAACTGAGATTTTTTGTTTTCCCAAATTATTAGGGCCAATGATTATGATCCTGACAACTACATATCTAGCCACTTCAATGTGATATGTTTGATTTTTATCTTTCAGTTACTGAGCTTTAAAAAGTGTATAAAATCAGCAAGTTATCAACATTGATTGTCAAGACAGGATATCAAGTCCTATATAAGGTAATTTAGTAACCTGCACCATAGACTAAAATTTACTCTACTGCGTCCCTATTCAGCATACTTTGGGATTGCTGGAATTAACAACTTTCTTTGCTGGCTTTTTGATATGATGTCAGCAAGTGCTCCTCAACACAACTTTCCTCCTCAAAAAAACTAAAACAACAAAAAAAACCCATCTTTCTAGCATGTATCAATGATTGATCCTTGATGCAAGACTTGGGATTAGAATTCCTCTAGGAAAAAATGTAACTCTAACAGACTTTCACTCTCACATGCAGAACTGGAGCTGGTATTTGTAAGCTGTAGCAACTGTGGCAATTGTTACTGGAAGGCACTGAAGTAACTTAAAAATGGGAAGCATTTCTATAAACACCAATTTTGTGAGTAAAATGTCAGGTCCAAACATGCAAACAGAACACAAGTTCCCCTCCTTAGATGAAATATTTGATTGCAGTTAAAGAACAAACAGGACCACTTGCAATGGACTTCAAGTCTACCAAAATGTGCTTACATTTCCACCCCTAGAAAATTACAAGACAGAGTAATTCCTTACATCCTCAGACTCAAAGACATGGCAAATCATTTTGTACTGCCTCTTTCCATCTTGGGAAGGGTGAGATGCTTCCACATTATCCTGGGAGTTAGACCGTGGCATTCGCCTGCGAGCCATCAAAACAACTATATTTCCTATATCCGCAATGTAAGAAATGGTCCGCAGAGGATGATCCATCATCGTTTCCTGGGGAATACAAAAAAACCCGACATAAGCAGCTGTTTCAACAAAGTTCTTATTGCACACCTACTATTATGAAAACAAACAAATGTCAATGTAAGATCTTTGTTAAGTGAAGTCTAATACCTGTCATGCATGAAGGGAGATGCCAATAGAAAACAAGAGCTTCACTTTCCAAAAGTAAAGCAAAGAGCAAGTTTTACAAATTAAAAGTCGTGCTTTCTGTGGAAAAGCACATAATATCACAACCTGAATAAGCTGGGCATGTATGTGCAAAGGACTATGAACTTCAAATTATGACAACCAAACATTTTGGGCTACTCTGGGCACAATCAATACTTGACAAATCATGGCTCGTAAGAAATGAGCTGACTGCAATTAGCTTACCCGCAAAATCTAATCATTTCTACAGTCAGACACACGACAATAATTGCATGTATGATATGGTTCTTCAGCATGGATTTCTTAACAGGAAATCCTGGAGGGATACAAGAGCCAGCACTTTTTGAAGGACAAATTTTGGCACGTAGGCAAAAGTCTATTTCAGTAGCCTACTACCACAACACTGACGTCTATACCTGTGTGTCTGCATTCAGTACTTTTATTCTCTGTGTAGAAATGAACAGGTCCACTTCAGTCATGGGTTGAGATTCGCCTTCTGGAGCCTGCAAATAAACAGATTAGAGTCAAACACACACATTAGATAATGTACTTACTGTGAATGTTAGCTCACGAACGGGGCGCACTAAGACACAGTCACCAGAACAGCAATGCAAGATAGGGTATTAAACTGCAGAAGCTAAAGATAAACACAAAGATATGGAAACTATATACGTAGATGTGAAAGTGAATTGGATATTATTTGAAAAATTGTTAACCCCATAAAAGCTTCTCTGATATTTTTCCTGATTCAGTAAAATTATACCTGACTGCAACATGAACTACACATAAAGATGTCATGATATCAAAATAATTCTCCCATTTTTTCCACATACGAATCCCACTTTAAAGGTTTTTCACACAAGCCACAGAAAGGCCTAACAGCTTCTCTTGCCTGAGAAATTTCTGTATTGGCTAACAGTGACTGCCACAACCAATGGAAATACCTGTGCCACAAGTGGGTACAGTTTAATCAATTCATAATGCAGTTCTGGTAAGAAGATATTCACAGGCAAGACAACATACTAATCAAAATCTAACCCACTGTAGAAGCCATATTTTGTTAACAGAAAGCAAACGCTTGCAATTTTTTAAAAAATTAGATTTGTTAAAAGATACTTAAAAACTCCACAAACAAAACTTAATACTAAGATGAGTCAATCTCAGCATATTACTGTGTATATACATAAACTTTTTTTTTGCATCCAGCAATTTGACACATCTGTGAATCAAACAAAGCACTCACATAGAAAGATTGTAAAAAAAAAAAAAAGAAAAGAAAAAGACAAAGAAAAGACTTGACTTTAATCTATCATTTTACAAAATTAAAACCTTTGCCATATCAGTCCTGTTTCTTTAGTATGCATTTTGGGAACTGTGTGCAATCATTTGATAAATCCAATCTTTACTCTATTTCTAACATGAAATGGCTAATGATAAGCAACAAAAAATGGCCAATCAGGCAACTGATTTTTGAGAAATGTCAACTTGTATGGTGGCTCAGAAATAAATCTAAAAAAAACTTGCTGGATGCAGAAAATAAAAACACAAAATAAAAAGAAAGGCAAAAAACCCTCCCAGAAAACAAAAAAAAACAGGCATAACATCAAGCTGATGGGAGTTTGTACTGCACCTTCTTCCTGCTTTTGGCTAATTTCTGGGCCATCTGCTTAGCATGGAACAAACAGAGACAGGAGAATGAATAGTTAGAGAAGAACTTACAGAGACTCCAAGTCAAGCAGGAATCTGCATGCTAATGCCAGGGCTCACAGACTACCAGCTGCTCTAAATTAGTCCCCCTTTTCTTTTTGGCTTAAAAAAGTTTAAAAATTTAGTGTTTAGCAAAATTACTTAAAAAAATTAAAAGAAACCACACCAAAAAAGTCAGGAAGAGCACAGAAGGATTTTTTTCTTCACTTAAAATGGTACTCACAACAAAGCAAGGCTTTATTTGTGGGTTTGTTTCTTTTTTGCTTGGTTTTTTAAAGGGAAAAAACCCAGAGCTTCCCTTAATTCACGCAGTGTAAACCATGATGTTACTTCTTTTGAAGCAACACCACTGTAAAAGGTGAGAGAAGAATCTTAACCATTATTATTCCAGTTTTTTTCAGATCTAAAGAACTCAGATTCAAGTTTCCTAATGCTCTCATTCTTAAACAGTCTTCAAAAAATAATCCCCCTAAAACTATGCTACTTTTTTTCGTGGAAAAACAAAATGAGAGAAGGTAACTTTCAGCTCCATTTTCTCCTCCTTCTATGCAAACATACCCATACCACCATTAGCATTGCGTATCTGGACAGCAGGCTTTCCTGTGACACCTGCACAAAGATACATCCATACTACGACAGATTTTCAAGAAGGCAGTGAATCATGTACTTCAGTTCCACAAACACATGAAAATAGCTCTCTTGTCACTAAGTAGTTTAATTGATCTATATCCAGTGACGTAATCAGCCGATTGCAACAATCTGATTCCTTACATACTACTACTGTGGCAACAATAACAACACAAATAAGCATCATCCTTTACAGTCTTGCAATCATCAATTCAAACTCAGGTGAACTGAACTTACAGACCTGCTTACTGAAGAAACACAATACTCACCAGGCTGGCAGATATCCTTTCACCTCCAACAGCAACAGCCTCCTAGCTAATTAAATTAACAGGTGTGCTTGTGGTGGGAAGGGGGCTTACTATTACAGGCTTCACAGAGATTCATGGCTAACTAGTTTTATGAAGAACAGGAGGCCTGAATCACAAGACACACCAAAAGTTTTATATTGATGCTCACAACTTAAATCTATCAGGTTTCATCTAAACAATCTGAAAGCTGCTACTGAAACTTTAGACCATACTGCTTATTTACAAATACAAACATTCTCACACAAGCTTTTAGCCACCTTTTTCAAACCAAGAAATATTTGATAGCCTGGTGATTGCTAACTATTGCAAAAGCCATGAGCACTGCCTCACGCTGCAAGCTCTTCATTACATCAATATTAATTTACATTGGTACTCAGAAATAATATACTCATCTTGAATAACAGCTGTCTGCCATACAATGGGCAAGGGTGAGGCGCTAATGAGATAGAGCATTTAAAGCGCTTTCCAAAATCAAGCTTCCTTTCAGGCAATTTCCCCCCCTCCCCAAACCTTACAAAGTGATGGACCTCACAACAGAAGAAAAGCAGAGACCAAAAAGAAGAAAAAGAAGGGGAAAAAAAATCCTTGAGCTAGAGTTTTATAATGCAGAATGAAAGATTAGTTAATTAGATTAAAAATACACTACCATTCAATTTACTGAAAATTCTGCTCTTGCAATAGAAGCATCTGGTCTTAGTAGTATTTTAACTTTTTGAAGAATGACTTTCAAATATTTCATAAAATTAAGGTAATGGCATGGAACAACCAATTTTAGTAAGTGATTTAACACTACACAGGAATGTCATAAAAGAAGTTATGGTTCATGAAAAAAACAAATTAGCATAACTCTATGCAAGACACTTGATCAGCCAAATCCGCTTTATCACCATGTTATTTCGCTAATTTAGAACAAAAGATTCTTTCTATATTCTCAGAAAAAACAGAAACTACCTAATCTAAACTAAATACTATTTAAAAAAAAATATATACAGAGTCCAGGCTTTTCATTTAACATAAATGAAATGTAACTATGCATGTAGTAGCAATTTCCAAAATTACAAATTGCTAAAAAACAGCAAGCTTCCACTATTGCTACAGGGATGTCTTAGCTATGTTCAACCCATTTAACCGCTACAAAAAATGCACTGCAACTCAGTGAACACGCAGAAGACACAGAGTAAACAAAATATGCAGACTATTAAACTATTTCCAGGTATGGGTTCTACCTTAAATTACACTCCGTAATTAAATCAGTTGTTATCTAAAAATGTTCAGACCTGTCACACAGCTCAAATCTGCTGATGGAAAATAAAAGTGAAAGTTAATTGTTAGTTCACATGTGAAATGGAACAGCACAGATCAGCTGTGAACTGTAACCATGAACGTCAACTTTTTTACTACCACAAGTAATACAGATCCAGTCCAAGTAAAATGTGAAAAGGTATTCCTTTCCATGCTATCTGAAGAAATGAGACTACAGTCTGAAAAGGATGAAATACCTTTTCTATTACTAAAAGTACCTCCTAGTGGAAATATGAAATAACTACATTTGATTAATGCCTTCAAAGCAGTGTATCTGTTTTAACTTAATTGGACTTCACAGAGACGAATGCCCGAGCAAGAAAACTCCCTACTCTTGTACTTTAAAATGAAGAGATACTTGTTTAAAGAATCAGCATAAAGAATTTTTTTCAAAATCTGTCCATATTCTAAATTAATGAGTATATGGTCTGAAGGCTCTGCTAAAAGCAAGCATTATAGGGATTACTAAATTCAAAAGGAGCACACTCATATGGAAGGTATGTGTACACAGCGGGATTTAAACAAAGCTCCTCCCCCCTTTTTAACGCTCTTCAAGTCTGCAAATTTTTAAAAGCTTATTCTTAATTCATAAACTTTGTTTTCTTTAACTACAGAGAAATGTTTCACATGCAACACCTAACACTGTAAACAAACGTGAGTAGGGCACAAGGATCATAGTCATTGTGCAAGCAGCATTTTACACATTTGGGCTAAAGGCTGTCTTATGCAGCGATGAATCTGGCAGCAGGAACGCCATCTGCCATCACAAATTTCTCACTAAAAAATTTGGCTTTAATGGCAATCAGCAACAAAACTAGCCCAAACCAACCTGAATAAACCAAAGACCCTAAGGTGCAGGAAGGTATATTTACATTGCCTGAGCTTCTCCTAGAAGCAGTAACTGTCAGTGTGCCATGCAGTAAGCCAATAATTTTCTGAAATACACTTACAGGTTCAGAAAATTATGCACACCAGCTATGGTTTTACCAGGTCAACAATGCAACTAACTTGGGCCTCCATCCCAAGACAAATTTACTATGACCAAGAATATACAGGCCTGCTGATTTATATGGATGTATAGATAGGAGTTTTATGAGCGAAATGAGTTAAATCTATTTCTTCTGTTTTGAGGCACAGCAGTGCTGAGGCATAACAGGATCCTCAGAAAGAACTTTATTTTGTTAATGAACTTCTAAGAAATACATCTAGTATTAGAGAAAGATTCTACACTCTTATATCTCACAGGCCCGCTTTGAATCAATTCTGTTCCAGTTTCCTCTAACCCATCCCTTCAATCTTTGTCTATTGCGTACTCCCACATAAGCCTTCCCTCCTAGATGCAAACTTCCTGCCCAGCCCCAGGTTCAAGTTCAACTCCTGATACCAGTTTCCTATGTCAGATGATGCTCATCTTTCCTTTGAACCTCCAGTAATGGGTCCCTCCTAGATCCAGCCTTACTGAAGCCCTTATTTCTCTCTCTTCTCTCTCACCTTTAGTTTCTTGTGCATTCAAATCAGACAACTTTTCTACCATGTGGCCAAGCATCAGGCAAGAAAACATGGGAATACTAAAAAGAAGCACAGCCTTACTTGCACCTAGAGCAGGAAAGAAGCAGATTCTGTAAGGGAAAGTTTCCATTGTAGCTTTGGGAAGAACCCACCAAGACCTGCCAGGGCTGAGAAAAATCTTTTAAAAAAATGTCACTGAATCCAGAGTTTCCAATGAACACAGACAAATCATTCCTTTCCAAAAGGCTCAGTGGCAGCTTAGATTTGTGGAAACTGCTGGAGAGATGGCAGAAGATGAATTATCTGTAACAGGAAGGCTACATCCCTGCCTCCTCTAAAATGCTAGAATGTTAGTGATTTTCAGAGACAAGGTTACAAGAATTTATGTATTTGGATATGGGCAAAACTACAGTTTCTGAGGTGTTTCAATGTTTCTACTTGGAGCTTCCCTGTGAGTTTCATACACAGACCAAATTGAACACCTGGCACGGAAAACATTGGAAGGAATAATAACAGTAGGAAGCATCAGCCGACCTTAATAGACAGTGCTATCAGCCTTGCTGATAACATGCTGTGTCTCTTCCTCTCTCTTTTATTCAATTGCACATAGAGTCTGAGTTGGAATCCAAAATAAACTACACAAAAGAAGAACACACAAATATTAAACTAAGGAAAACTTTCAGATGAGATTATGCTGGTTAGCTGAACTAGCAGAAGATCAGGCTGTGTGCCTACCACCCAGTCATGCACGGGTAGTGGGAATATTGCAGCATCCTCCACAACTGTGCAATATTCAGCCACACACTTAATTTCAGTTGGCAATGTCATCAACCCAAAATACAGCAGCATGCCCGTTGCTTGTCACAGCCCACACAGAAATCAGTGGACATTTCTGTTTTCCAAACAAACAAAGCAAACATACCAGATTCCAGGACAAATTAAGTTTTTTCATACATCTGTACTGTCGCAGGCTTTTCTTTTTAAATCAGCTCATAGATGTTACATGGTGGAGAATCTAATATCCACAGCAGGCTCAAAAATAACTGCAGACGTTACCACAGTACCAGTTCCATCAAGTGCCAAGCCAGAAGTGGCTGCAGTACTTACTAATTTTACCCTAAATCTGTTTTCCCTCAACACCCAGGTAATACATAACTTAAACCACCACTCACTTCAGATTCCGGCTTACAGTACACGACACAAGTATCAC